TGTGCACCCGCCTCTACAAGGCGATCATACTCTCGAACCATGTTCCCGGAAACCTTGAACAAAATTTTTGTTCTCAACCTCTGCTCAAACTCAAAGCAACGACGCTCCTCTGTCGCTACCAACTCCTGTGCAAACCGGGATAAGCTAGAAAAGGCCGCTTCAAATTCGGCCACAGACATATTCAATTGCCTAAGGACCTTGAATTCCTGTCTCAACCTCTCCCGAGCCATGGGAGGTAGGTACTTGTCTTGGAAGGCCGTCACAAAAGCCTCCCATGTCGGTGCTATCCGGCCCTTCGCATACTTCCACCATTGGCCGGCGTCACCTTTGAGGTAATAACTTGCAAGGGTCACCCTCAACTCGCCATCATCTATAGGGAGCGTATCAAAGGTCTTCACGGTTTGTTCCAACCATTCGTCCGCTTTCTTTGGATCAAGGCTGCCATAGAATTCATCCGGCTTGGACCTAAGAAACTCCCTCGTGAGGAAGCTAGTTTTAGTTTCTGCAACATCCTCCCTTGCATGGGTCTCCGCCCTCACAATGTTCATGGACTCCCTCAAAGCCCCCGCCATCTCCCGGGCTAAAGCCCCCATTGCGGCTTGGCCGGCTTGACTCGGCACCTCTGCTTGCCCCACTTGTTCGGCCCTGTCAGTTTGGCCTAAACCCTCTTTTTGTACCGGGACCCCTTAGACCGGCACCTCAAATACACCCCGGTGACCTCGAGCTCGCCTTCCACCCCTACCACCTCGAGTTCGCACTCTTCCTGACATCCTAATTGAGAGACAAGGAAAATAATTAAGCACATGATTTCAAATGTGCTCGCCACTAACTTCACACGTTAGGCTAAGGCCACCACATATATCCTACCACACAAATAATTTAATTCACTCCACATAAGCACCTTAGCCACTTAAACACATACGAATTATCCTTTAGGGATGAGATTTGTCCCATGAGAAACCAATAATTCTAAGTAGGTACGAATTATCCTTTAGGGATGAGATTTATCCTTTAGGCCACCACATATATCCTACCACACCTGAGTATTGATCAGATACCCTTCTATTAAGATCTCAAAGAACCTAACAGGCGCAAATTACATCCCAAAAGCCTAATCCCATACCCACTTAATCACATAAACGTGTTGTCACACAATCACAAGGGAAAAACATTTCCTAGTCATGCGAAATGAACCCATTGTGATATAACGACCACTTCCCACGACCCCCAAGTATTCAAACTTGGTAGCTCTGATACCAAGTTATAACGCCCCAAAATAATTCAACATGAACAACCCATAAATGATCAACATTTACCCAACAATGACTATAACCTATCAATCTTTATACAATTACTAGCGAGTCATTTTAAAGGTTTTGCATGTGAGTATACATTCATCAATTCAAACATGTGAATCTATAGCATGTAAAGCAAGCCATTCTCAAAAACAATACAATGCCTTTAAGGGCTTACATCTTCCAAGGCATAAACCTGGTTACACAAAAAGATGGTTTCTGCAACCCATAAACATTAGCCCTTGGCTCAAAAGAATTACACAAAAATAAAGAGTCATGTACTCTTCTCAAAACATCCACGCCCTCAGTTCAGCGGGTTCACCACATCTTTACCTGCACCAAATCCCATAGGGGTGAGCACAAAGCCCAGTAGAGAATTCTTATAAAGTATATACAGCTATGAATACTCTTCAAAACAATGCAATTGTTAATGCCACGCCATGCATCTTTAAAAGAAAGTCCATTTCATACAGCTTTAGAAGTTTCTATCTTCCAACAATTATTTACAATCTCAACGTTTTTACCAAAATTCCAATCATCAATCAATAGGGGTGGTAAATACGACACTGGTAATCTCTAGGCTGGTGTCTGCAAGTAGACTCTACGAGTACTACCAAACTGTCATTTTTACCGGTATTAGCCGGAAGGCTCAACACCTATTCGCGCGATTTTCTGGTCTTTCACCAAGGACACTCAGGCCAACTTATCAAATTCTACTACACCCCCTATTCGGACTTCCCACGTATTTGCCCCATTCACATTTCCATCATTCTCGTTACAATATAATCATTCTCATAATAAATGTCTTTCCAAAACATATCCAGGTGCACGATGATAATAATAAATTGAAATATGATGCAATAATTACCATTCTCAAAATATCTCTACAACAATATCAATCAATCATCTCTCATTTCTTCCTTTCAAGTCATTTCCCAAAATGCCCATGTGCTCACCATTCCTCACAATAACAATTTACAACAATAATCCCTTCAAGGCAAACAATGTTCTCAACACAATTTCATGATCTTACGAAGTTTCATAAACATGGTACAAAATCATTCATCACTCCCAACAACATAATCTTTCAACATTTTTTTAACAACTTTTGCAATAATAGTATCTCACCCACTATCATAATACAAAATAATAAGGAGTTTCACAAATATTTCCACGTGTTTTCAAAATCCCCCAATTTCAAGGGCTTTTATCAAAAATTTAACATTTAACCATTTCAAGGTGAAGACCAACCCAAATCACATCTTATGAGTCAAATGGAAAGAAAACCCTTTAGAAAGAACAAAGGATTTGAGATTTTAGAAACCCAATTTGAAAACCCTCTTTCTCTCTCTTCATTTAGTGCAAAATTTAAAACTACACAACTACTACATAACAACTTAAAGTTAACATTTAGTAGCAAAACATACATATATATAACTCTAGAACTCCCTACCTCAAAGTGGAAGCCCAAGGAGAAGGGTGAGACAAAGGTGAAGCTTTCAAAAATGGCAAAACCCACTTCTTCTTGGATGGAAATGAAGATCTTGAAGAGCTCACTCTTTTTATCTAAGGGAGGGAGGTGAGAAGACCACTAGATCTAGGTCAAATACAGAGAGAGGGTATTTCTAGGGAGAGAAGCTCTCAACTTAGGTTTTGGATGAAAAAGGAGATGAAAAAGTTATGTAAAAAGTCACTTTTACGATCTAATATACGCGAAGTCCGCTCGAGCGTTGGACACAACAACAACCCGCTCGAGCGCGAATATCACCGCTCGAGCGTAGATTTCACCCGTACAGTAAATCACAGATTGCAGACAGTCGCTCGAGCGCCAGAAGGGCCGCTCGAGCTCAGACACGCTCGAGCGTAAGAAACGCCGCTCGAGCGTGAAAAACACTCTTGCAGCACTTTTGCAGAGGCACTCGATACTTAAAGGTTGCAAACTCTGCTCGAGCGCAAGAAGTCCCGCTCGAGTGGAAGACCGAAATTCTGGGCAAGAAGATTTTAGACTGAAAGGCAACCAACCTATTCTAGACACGCTCAAGTCATTCCAAAACTCAAATTCAAGAGGAGTAAAGAAGAAAGACACAACCAGTCAAACAACAAGATTCGAATCTAGAATACCATGACAGTCGGGTAGAGACCCGGGGTTGTTATAAACCACATATCCATTTTGATAGAAATAACATTTTCGAAAGTAAAGATAATTTGAACATATCTTTATAAGGTTATTACTCATAGTGGTTTGCAGTGACGCTAAGCCTCGGACGTCCACCTAAACGAAGCACATAACAAAGTACAAATGAAACTCCATTTCATTTTAATTTAATTCTCTTTATGTGTCTCTAACTTATTGTATGATTATTGGAGTCCAAATGGTGGCTAAGAATGCTTGGAGTGGCACGAGGATGCAAATATGCACTTAAAAGAGTTGGTAAAATTTTGCTGAAAACAGGGTCTTTGCTCGAGTGTAACTTCTACGCTCGCGCGGGGGTTCAAAAACAAAGGTGGCCGCTCGAGCGTAACTTCTGTCGCTCGAGTGATCTGTAAAAGTACTGGATACATGAATTCCCGCTTGATGGTTGCTCGAGCGGAAGACTGAGAAAAAGGGTCCTCGCTAGAGCGGATTGTAAAATTTTAGAAACTTCTAGGAGACCGAATTCCACGCTTGAGCGTGGACTCCCTCGCTCGAGCGGACAACACGAATTTTGGAATTTCTAGAACTGTGTTTGAAGTTCAAACATGGTACTCAAAGCTTCAAATCTTGTGTTTTTGGTATAAAAACATGGAGAGTCACTATATAACATGAAAACACTTCCAATCTGAACCCATTTATTCAAAATCATGGTAATTTCCCAACCAATGACTCCAACCTCAATTTATAAAATAAGTTTAACTCAATTTGGGTGTACATTTCTTCAAAACATGCTCAAAATATGATCAAGTGACATGAGAAGCATGAAAACATGAAGGGTTCTCCAAATTAAGGTGTAAATGTGCCATGCATGTAAGAATTCCATGAATTCTAACTCAAATTATGCATGCATGTAAGCAATTCAACTCTATTCTTCCATTTTCATGATACGCATAGCTTCTTTTCTCCAATAACATGTTAATGAGTTCAAAAATGAGAGGAATTCAACTACTATATGCCATAACTACATGAATTAGTGATGAATGCCATACCTAGTGTTGAGTTCAAGTGTGTTATGGCTCCAATCTTTGAATCTTCCACTAATTCTTTACAATTCTCCTCTATCCTTCTCTAAATGTTGAACTCTCCTCTCCTCCCTCTCAATTCTCAGCTGAGTGTGTATATAAAAATGAGCTCGTAAGCTTAATTTGGGTCTTATATAGGATGTGATTAAGTTAGCCTAATCAAATATAGTCAGGATTAATTAATTAGGCTTAACTCTAACTAATTCAATCAGTTTATTCTAATTATTTTGATCCAAATCAAACATCAATTAAAGTTGCCATAAAATTCTAAATATTCTAATTAGCCTATTGGGCTAGTCAATTTCAGTTTCTGAAGCTGTTTAGGCTCCCAATTTCCGACTCTAAGTTATCGAGATATTCCATATATCAACAGATAATTATGGAATTAAACATGTAATCACACAATCAAGCACATAACCATGCAATTAAACTTATTTAAATTATATAATGTACTAGTTTGGAGGTCAGGGTCGTCACAGTCTCTCCCCGTTAGAAAGTTTGGACCTCCAAACTTAAGTTACCTTCAGACGGAAACAAATACGAATACTGTTGCCGCATCTCTTCCTCTTTCTTCCAAGTGGCTTGCTTCCCATAATGTTCTCTCCACTCGACCTTCACCATAGGGATAGTTTTGTTTCTCAATTGTTTCATTTGCCGATCAATGATTTGCGCGGGCCATTCCTCATACATCATATCCTCATCCAGAGGAATCCAGTGGTAATCAATCACATGGAATGAATCTCTCAGATAACCACAAAGCATGGATACATGGAAAACGTTATGCATTTGTTCCATTCCCGGCGACAAGGCAATACGATAAGCAACAGGACCTAACCTCTCAAGGATCTGAAACAGCCCAATGTAACGAGGAGTCAATTTTCCCTTTTTACCAAATCTCACATGCCCCTTCATTTGGGTCACCTTGATGAATACATGATCTCATACCTTCTACTCTAAGTCCCTTCTTTATTGATCGGCGAAGCTTTTCTGTCGGCTCTGTGCAATTTTGATCCTTTGCTGGATGATTTTGATCTTCTCAGTTGTTTCCTACACAAGTTCAGTCCCATAAATAGCTCTATCACCAACTGTAGACACCTCATTTTTGACCAACCTTAAGACTTAGACGTCATCGTTTGTGCATGCGATGATTGTGCTTGTTTGTGCTCGTTATGAGTTTCCGGAGCTTTCGGCTGAACGCCTTGTCTCGGGACCTCTTAACTCTCTTCTTCTCGGTTTTTTTTTGGACCTTGCCTTGGTGCCTTTTCCTGGAGGGAGAGAGAGGCCTGTAGGCCAATTTTTGTAGCTGTAGGCTACTTTTCCCTCTTGTAGACCACTTGCAGTGGCCGGTAGGCTAGTTTTAGGAGCTTTCGGCTGAGTGCCTTGTCTTGGGGCCTCTTAGCTCTCTTCTTTTTGGCTTGTTTTTGGAGCATACCTTGTTACCCCTTGCCTGGAGGGAGGGGAGGGCCTGTCGGCCACTTTTGGCAGTTGTAGGCAACTTTCTCCCCTTGTAGGCCACTTGAAGTGGCCGACGGCCATTTTTCTATTTTTGCAGATATTTTTGGTGCCAGGTGTGCCAGCTGTTAGGCACATAATGCATCCTCCATACACGTGTGTGGAGGGATTAGAACAAGCTCTAAGCTTGTCAAGCAAGCTTATGCTTGCTTCCTCTATATAAGGAAAGCTCTCTCCCCCTTTCAAGGGTTCAGATTTTTTAGAGCTAAAAATCTCCCTCTCTCTCTAGAATTCTCACTCTCTCTTTCTATATTGTGTTATTGTGCTTTCAAGCGTTGTTTCTTCATACTTTTGCACACAAACACCTAGTTAAACACCTTCACTTTGGAGCTGAGGTCTATTGGAGCTTCATTTGAGGTCTTTGGCTTGCTTTTGGTTGAGAATTGTTGCTGAAGTTGCTGTCTTGTTCTTGTTCTTCAAGGGTAAGCATACACCCCTTTTAAAGCTTTGTTTTGATTAAGTCTTTTACCACCTTTGCATGCTATTTAAAGGCTAGTTTTAGCCTCTCAAAAACTCTATTTTTAAGACTTTAAAGTGTTGGTTTGAACCTTGTGGGGTTAGGGGGGTGGTCCCCCTCTTTTGCTCTTTGGCTTGTTAAGCCTTTTGAGCCAACTCTCTAAACTTTTGTAATGACCTTTGTTTGGCCTTTTAACTACTGAAACTGAGAGGAATTTCAGTGGTAAAAATTTGCTCTTGTGATCCAAAATAGAAGGGGGCAATCCCCTCTCCTTGTATTCTTGTTTGCTTGTGTTGGTGGCCTAATACATGAACATGTATCTCTTCCTTTTTGAAACTTAGTCCAAGCATGTTTTGTGACTTTTTGGACCTACCATAGCTCTGTTTTTGGTTGGTTTGGTCATTGGTTGCTTGCATCTTATATTTGTAGTGTAATCCTACTTGTTGGCCTAATAAGCATCATGCTTTATGCCTCTCATCCTATCTTGTGTTGGCTCTATCTCAACATGTTTTTGCCATTATTTTAGCACGCCTTAGCTTTGTTTTGAATGGTCTTGGCCATGTGAGGCTTGCCTTGTAGGGTTGTAGTGTAAGTGGCTTTGACTAGCTGTGAGTGTCAAGTCTCTAGCATGCTTTACTTGAGTTGTTTGCATGCCTTAAACTCATTTCTCACATAACTTTAGTGTATATGGTGTCGTCACACTCTCACATATTCCACTCCTTCATAGCTTTTGTGAGTTGTGCCTTATGCATTGTTTATGCGCCAATACGTATGCATGCTTGTCTAAGCTTTTGGGCCACCATTTCAGCATGTTTAAGCCTCTGTTTTGGCATGCTTAACCTCTGTCCGGAGTTGGTTTGGTCATTTGTGCTATGTATTGCATGCTTCTTGGGTAGTGCTCTTTACTAGCCTTATGCTTTAGGCCTTATAGCATGCCTTATTTGTGATGTTTATGTGATATGGCATCATTTAACACATAATTTCAAAGCATATAGCCTTGTCATACTCTCATGTGTATCACCCTTTCATTGGGTTTAAGATGTTGTGCCTCATGCCTTGTTGATGAGCCAATGTATGAACATCGTTTTCTTGCCTTTCATGCTATCATTTCAAAGCATTTTGGCCACTATTTAGGCATGCATGAGGATTGTTTAGGCTTGGTTTAGTCCATTGAGCAATGTATTGCATAGTCCTAATGTTGTGTAGTTCATTAGTTTTAATGCCTAAGTCTTCTAGCATGTCATGCATATGTTGTTTGTGTGTTAGATTCTTCTTTTAGCATGCCACTTTAGCATTGAAAGATGAGCATGTTGTTTGCATTGCATTGTGTTTGGATTGGACGTTAATCCAAACACAAAGAATGTGGCACGTTTCATACTCAAAGTGATGAAACGTGTTGCATTTCTTGGTCGCCAACCCTCTTGATCATGCATGATAGAGGTTGAGGCTCTTACGTGTTGTTTTTGCATTCACTAACATTGTGCGAGCTTGGCTCTTTGGCCATCATGCATTGAAATGCGTGATTGGTGGCTTGAGAGCCGAGTACTACGCTCCTTTGAGGTTGAGAAATGATAAGGAGAGTAGTTGCACACACATTTCCTTGCAAATGCATTGTTGTGCCTTTGTTGATCTCTGTTGCAGCAAAGTTGAGATTCTGGAAAGGGAAGTGGCCGGCCAGCCACTTGCACTAGCCTGCCAACCAGTTGAAGTGGCCGGCCGGCCAGTTGAGGTAGCCTGCCGACCAGTTGAAGTGGCCGGCCGGCCACTTGCAGCAAAATTTTCCAAAAATGCTCATGTTTTAAGGCAGATGCAACCTGAAGTGTGTTTGATGCTCTGAGGTCACCACAAGTGCAAACAGAGACAACTTATGGCAAGGCAATGCATTTCCGGGCGAAGCAAACCGAGCATGCATCTCTCCCTCTTCTCGAGGCCATTTTAACTGCTTTGTTTAGATAGCTAATTTTCCGATTTTGTAATTAATTAGTTAATGTGTTCAGCTAATTTAATTCATCTCTGTAATATTCTAATTAGCTTAGCATAGCTAGTTTCAATTTGGTTTGTAATAATTAATTAGCTAGATTAGTTAATTAGTTGATTTGTAATAAGTAGCTTAGCTTAGCTCTTATTTATTTGGACCCTCTCGCGAGAGGGCGTATTGTTGTAATAAGGGTGCGTGTGTGTGTGCATGTCTTCCAATCCCCACTTCTTTCTCCCTTTTACTTATCAGTTTTTGATGGTTAGTTTAGGGCATATTTCAATTAGCATACCTTATGCTTGCATGTTTGCATCATTCATTTGTCTTGCATGTATCGGGTTCGGCGCATCATTCAAACTGCACAGTATTTCAATACTTACTTGAATACATGTATCAAAGTTGTTGCATCCATATGCCATCTTAGATAGCCAAGCCTATTTTAGTTGCATTTTTACATGTGTTGCATTAGGCATTTTAACATAAACTAGGATCATGCATGATTTCTAACTAGTTTTTTATTTTTGCTCGGAGTACACTGTAAGTGTTTACGCTTTAGCATACTGCATGAGATGTGTATGTTGCCATGTTAGCATGCTTGTCATGAGGCAATGTGCTTATCTGATAAACTGCATGAATGCCTGTGGATGAAGGCTTCATTACTTGAATTGGAGCAATTCATCAAAATGTGAGTTTTAAGCCCACTTTGCGGAGTGGCAAATCAAGTTGCTTTAAGCCCACTTGAGGGTGGCAAATCCATGTTCTAGCCTACTTGCGAGTAGCACTTTCAAACCATTTTCGAAAAATGAACATGAGATCTTTTGTTCCAAATCGAGTGATTTAGTTTATATTTGTATGCTATGCGCATCACATAGTAAGGTTAGCTAATAAACTAGAATAAGAGCACATATGTTTTCAAAATAACATATCATGTTTAGTAGAGGCCGATGCTTTGATCGGGTGAGCGGGGGTGCTCATTTCAGGACCTTCCCCTCTCGTACCCAAGTTCCCGAGCCGAGGCAACTTTGATGATGACGGACATGTGGCCTTAGGCACGAGTCAGGGTTTCCTAAATTTCTCAAAAACAAAATGTTTAGGTGGCGACTCTGAAATCTGGAAAAGCAGTCCATGTTTGGCACTTTTTGATTCAAAATTGATTTGTCAAAACCAATTGCCGAGATTTGGACTCTTTGGTGATTTATCAATCTTACATTGCACTTTGTGAGAATAGATTCAGAACCATGACAGGAGTTCGACGTGTAGTAGCTATGAACCCAATTCGTGCCCTCTTCGAAGTGAGGGCCACGCAGAGAGAGTTCGAGCGGTCCACACCAACCTCTACCCAACAAACTGGCTATCTACACTTTCTGCCATATAGTGCCTCATATGGTGCCATACCGATACTCGCGTGAAAACTGTTATTATAAGAAAATTTGACCAATGGAAAATAAGTTTCCGAACTTCCCTGAAAATCCAATACTCACATACGAAGCATGTCTTCTAAGGTCCGGATAGTTCTCTCGGTTTGCCCATCGATTTGTGGATGAAATGCTGTACTAAATCTCAATTCTATTCCCATTGCCTCTTGCAAACTATGCCAAAATCTAGAAACAAATTTAGGATCCCTATCTGATACAATAGACACTGGAACCCCATGCAGCCGAATAATCTTATCAATGTAGATAGTAGCACGTCTATAAGTAGTAAATGAAGTCTTTACAGCAAGAAAGTGAGCAAATTTAGTCAATCTATCAACTATAACCCAAATAGAGTCCATACCTCTAGGTGTCCGAGGTAGGCCAAGAACAAAGTCCATGGTGATATGTTCCCATTTCCATTGCGGAATAGGAAGAGAATGAAGCAGACCTGCTGGTTTCTGATGTTCTGCTTTTACCTGCTGGCATTGTAAGCATTTAGAATTGAAGTCGGCAATCTCTCTTTTCATGTTGGGCCACCAATACACCAACTTCA